GATAGATAGATAGATAGATAGATAGATAGATAGATAGATAGATAGATAGATAGATAGATAGATAGATAGATAGATAGATAGATAGATAGATAGATAGATAGATAGATAGATAGATAGATAGATAGATAGATAGATAGATAGATAGATAGATAGATAGATAGATAGATAGATAGAATAGTATACTCAAACATGAAAAATATACACACAGGAAAAATGGAAAATGATTATATAATAACAACAAAAGTAGAGAAATTTAAAACTGAAGATCAAACAAATGATTGTTTTGATATAAAGGAGAAATTAAAAAATGTGAAGGCTGAGGTCCATCACACTAAGTGCAGAGTGCGCACACCCAATCCCAAGACTTGTATCTGAGCACAGTTGTTCTTCAAGACTGGAGAATTCTTTTAACTTTTTATATCTTTAAAAAATAAATAAATAAAACACTGAACATAAAAATTGTGCTATGATCAAATGCATTTGCTAGCTATGACAAGAAGTTTCTAGACTGATGGTCTGAGGCTTATTGTTTACTCTGCAGTTCTGTCTGCCTGTCTCATCAACAGCGCTGCCAGAAAACAACAAACACTTGATTTTACTCTTTGTACTGAATGAAACTTACCTCGCTCCACTTTCACTGTTTTCATGTATAAATATTTTATGATCATTAAAATGAAACCGCCCTTCTGATGGACATGGACTAACTAATAATCCTTATTTCTATTATTACATTTTTCTTATCAAGAAGTAAGTGTCATAAGTTTGGAGGAAATTTAATTAAAGTACATCTTGCACACCGAGTGAAAAGTGACACAAAGCAAAGCAAACCTCCTAACGCTTCACTTTAAGCTCTGTTTGACTTGGATTGATCAAATCTGCAGAAAAGTGGAAAAAACACCCGTATTTAAGAGGAAAGCGTGTTAGTGTGAGCGGATCCTGTCCTGCAGTTTCACACTGAGATTAATTCAAGTATTGAGGTTAAGGTCAGGCTACGTGTTGCACAGTTCTTTACTTATTCTGCTAACTCTTCTTACCATACAGTTTTTTGGTTGCTGATATTGCAGCAGAGGTCGATCATGTACAAAACATTTGCAGACACTAATGTATTAGTTAGGCTTCCTGAAAGTTTTGATTAGAGAGTTTTTTATGTTTAAAATAATTATATTTGTTTTCATAAAATGGGTCAACATGAGGCCTGAACAGTTTAAGAATTTATTGTAATTGCAAGATCAATATACCGTATTTTTCGTACTATAAGGCAATCCTTTAATTTTCTCAAAAATCTATAATGAGCCTTATAACCTGGTGCACCTTATGTATTAATTCTGGTTGTACTTAATGAACTCAAACTGATTTTATGAGGTACACGGCGCTCAAATATTTTAAAATAAACTTGTTTTGCTTAATGCGCCTTATAATCCAGTGCACCATGATTTTTTTATTATGTTCATTTTTATTATGTTAGCTGATTGTGTGAGGATTTGGAGGTATTGAACATATGCAAGGACATTAATATAAATTTTGGAACTTGTAGAGAGGAAAATGCTGTGTTTTTATTGTATCTAGATTTTTAAATTGTTTGTATTTTAATGTATAGTTTTTATTAAATGAACTTGGAGGTTGTACGGTTGATTACATGAATTTGTAGGTAGGAATATGTTGATAAATTATATGTATTTTAATGTGTAGAAATGCCCAACCAGGGACTGGAGTTGCGAATTAGCTGTAGTTATATTCTTTGTGCAACGCATCAGTGACAGACTTGTTCTGTTCTATGTTTGTGTGTATTGCCCCTGTCAAATAAACTAATAATAATAATAATAATAAATAATAATAATGATGAAAACAGACCCACTCATTGATACTGCACCTTATGATCTGGTGCGCCTTATAGTCTGAAAATACAGTATACACAGTGCAAGCAAGAGAAATATTTGGTAATTAGATGAACCGTCTATAGCTCCACAGTTTTCTTTTCAATATTATAATACCCATCATTCAAATAATATTATCACTGTATCATCATAAACATCTATGCAAATAAAGTTGCATAAATCGTGATGATTCGAATCAGTGTGTTTGTTCTAAATAGTAAAATTTTATATTACTCCAATAGAAGAACTCAAGTTTTTTAGGGTTATTTTACTGAGATTGATAATTATGATTAGTAAACATATTTTTCCTTCAATAGAAGGTGGTGCTCTGAGGTTTAGATTCAATTTATAATCATAATCCCCTAATTTGCTACACGAGAAAAAACATTATTGCCCGCCTTTCTATCATAACTGCATGTTTCTTTACCAAGTGCAGCCCTGAAGAATTTGGGACAAAAAGAGCTGTTAGTTTAATAATAAGTTCATTCTCCAACTGACAGGGGAAGTAGCGTGAGATCTTCTTCCAAGTTCATGCTCAATAATCCAGGTAGAAAATCAAAAAAAGTTCAGTAAGGTCATCTGGACGTTTTCTTTTTTTGTTGTTGTTGAGACGTTTGGAGAAATGTTTTGTTGAGAAGTCCTTTGGATGAAGGACGAAACATCGCAACAATAAAAGAAACCATTCAGATGACTTGACTGAACGTTGTTGGATTTTCCACCTGGATTATTGAGCATGGTCCATTATGTGAGTGTGCTGCTTGTGGGACTCAGTTTGTTGGGGCTCCTCAGACTGATGAAGTCCTTTGGATGAAGGACGAAGTGTCTCAACAACAAAAAAAAAAAGAAACCGTTCAGATGGTAAGATCTTTTGCCAAACCTACGTATTTAAATTAAATTATTCACCAGTTGTCATTGGCTGGTTTTGCCGTGAAGCACAGACTAAGGAATGCTGTATGAACTGTGTCAGAACCAACACAACCTTCAGTTCGAAGACCACAGCAGCACGTTGGTTTTAAAGAGCCCAAAAGACCAGAGATGACCGACGCCTTTGGCCAGCTTTACCCAACGAGTCCGGCAACCACAGAGCCTATTGAATCGCTCCCTCAGTTTATGATGTCAGATAAAAGCAGACAAAATATACATACTTCATGAATAAAAAATCACTGAGCCATAATAGCTGAGCATTTTCTGTTGGATTATGTTTGGTGTAAACAAACAAAAATACCACCTGAGCTGGATCCATGCCTATACCTAGGCATACCTGTAACAAAATAGAAAAAAATTATAATAAACACTTGAGATTGTTGGATCGTATCCACTGTGGCTAGAATTACCTGGAGCAAGATGAAGCCTGTAACTACCACCATTATCCTAATAAGGCCATTATTCTGGACTGGCATGTCTCATATTCTGCTTAGGCCCTGCTGCTGTGGCTTGGAGTGGTTAATCATGCCGCCCTGCAGCCTGACCGCTCCTGCCTGTTCACTGCCTACACAGTACTGCTCCATAACACCTGGAAGACTTAGCACTGCCTATATTTAGGGATTATCACGTTTTAATTCAGGCTACTCAGGTGGTGACAAGTCATGTGACGCAATATACCCTTGAAAAAATATTCATGTTTAATTTTACGTAACTTTGAATGGAAGACATGTGGTTGTGTGCAAAACAGTGAATCCAATAGGTGCACGAGCCAAAGACAAATTGCAGGGGAAGCATCTCACTTTCACAGATTGTTAGGCTTGTTGGTTGTTTCCTCTTCGTCTTTGTTGAACAATTGCTTCCGATGAATTCATCATTCCTTAAACGAGAGCCTTTAGAAGCCTGTGGTGCTGTTTCTCTGTTATTAATGCATTGGCGACAACAGGCTCACCCGGCGTGTAATTTTTATCCATCTCACGGTTTTTAAATCATTCTCTCGGCTCTGTTGAACTCATAAACAGCAGAGTAAACGAAGCGGTTTACACCAAGAATTGTAAACAAAGACGTTGCCTGGATAAATCGACGTGAATCTCCCGGGATGGAAACTCACTTCATTCAACAAACAGTTCTCTGGAAACAGGGTCCAAAAGGTTGACCACCACATATTTTCCACATGAAAATTATAGACCAAGACAAATGGAGACTTGAATATCTTCGCTGTATTTTTCAGTTGTGCCCAATTTGTTCTCCAAGATTCTAAAGCCTAGAACTTTTAGAGAGTAAAAACACATACGTGGACACTTTTAGATCTGTACATTTAGATGTTTAGCAGTATGATGGACTGATTCATCCATTTATCCATCCATTTTCTAGTTTTCCGTGGTTGCGTTGGGGAGGAAACACATCCAGAAGGGAAACCCAGTCCTCAACGCTCTCTAGATCCTCCTGGAAGAAGTCAAGGTGTTCCCAGGCCTGGAAGGGTATATTTAATCCATCCATCAAATGTGGGGTTTGCCCTGGGATGAGCCCTGAAAAACATTCTCATTAGACGCCCGAATCCCCTCAGATGTTGTCTTTTATCCCCCACATTAAAAATGTTACTAGAACCACCTTCTTCCACCTACGTAATATCTCTAAAATTAGAAACATCTAAAAATGATGCAGAAAACCTGGTTCATGCATTTGTCACTTCTAGACTGGACTATTGCAATAGTTTGTTATCTGGGTGTCCAAATACATCTTTAAAAAGTCTTCAGTTGATCTAAAATGCTGCTGCCAGAGTCTTAACTGGAGTTACTGGGAGAGATCATATCTCTCCAGTTTTAGCTTCTCTCCACTGGCTCCCTGTCAAATCCAGAATAGAATTCAAAAGTTTACTTCTAACCTACAAAGCTCTCAACATCCTAGCTCCATCATATATTACAGATCTTATTGTTCCATATTTTCCTAACAGAGCACTTCACTCTCAGACTGAGAGGTTTACTCGTGGTTCCTAGAGTTTCCAAAAACAGAATGGGAGGAAGATCTTTCAGTTATCAGGCTCCACTCTTGTGGAACCAACTTCCAGTTTCTGTCCGTGAGGCTGACACATTGTCCAGTTTTAGGACTGGGCTTAAGATTTTCCTTTTTGGATAAATCCTATAGTTAGGGTCGGCTTGGGTTTCCTGAGTTGTCCCTTAGTTATGCTGCTATAGGCTTAGACTGCTGGAGGACAAACTGACCATACTTTTCACTCTGCTCCTGTCTTTACTTACTCTGCTCAACCTGTTTTGTATCTGTAATTATTTTTTCTATCCTTGATGTGTTTTTGCCTTTCAGGTACACCTGGACCTATAGTATATCTGGACCTACCATTCTGTGTTCGTCTGTCTCTCCTTCCTGTTCCTCTCAAACCCAGCCGGTCAAAGCAGATGGTCGCCTGTCCTCAGCCTGGTTCTGTTGGAGGTTTCTTCCTTTTAAAAAGGATTTTTTACTTTCCACTGTTGCCATTATGATTGTTCGGAATGGGAGACTGCGACAAAGTGAAGCTTCAACATGTCTGCTGGATTCCTTAGATGGAGAACTTTACTCACTGGCTTTTCTATGTACGTGAATGTTCCTGTAAAGTGCCCTGAGACAACTTTGTTGTGATTTGGCGCTATATAAATAAACTGAATTGAATTAAATTGAATTGAATAGATCAAACCAAAGCAAATTTATTGTGTGGCACTTTTCAAAATGTGCTGCACAAAAAACTAATATAGAAAAGACAATACCAAATATAAGACCATAAAAACAAACAATATTAAAAATAGTTTAAAGTACTTGTATGATGAGACATTAAAAAAAAACCTCTCTCTGTGTTAATACCAGTGAGTACAAATGTGTTTTAGGCAGAGATTTAAAAAGTCCAAGCCCTGTCTAATAGCAGTTGGTTTCACGTTTTAGGAACTGCAACAACAAAAACTCAGTTACCTTCATGGACCAGCCTGGACCTAAATCTCATCACCACTGCGGATTGGTCTGGACATCAGGACGAATAAAACAATCATCTTGAGGACACATAGGAAACAGGACACAGGAGTCTGCCCATACTGGGTTTGATATAAAGGTCATCAATAACGCTTTATAATCAATTCTAAAACAACAGGAGTCAATAAAGAGAAGCCAGCACGGGAGAGATACTGTATATTCATGCTTTATTTTTTATTTTTTTTAAAGACCAGATGCTGTGTTCTGAACTAACTGTAGTTGTGAGCGGCCAGCCTGACTCACATCAACATACTGTTATAACAATCCAGCTGGGAGGTAAGAAAACTGCAAATCACCCATTCAAAATAATTAAAATACATATTTTTTTAATTAAATAAAACCATCAGTTTAACAATCTTTTTACTGCAGAACTACCGTATTTCTCGGACTATAAGGCGCACTTAAAATCCTTTAATTTTCTCACAAATAGACACTGAGCCTTATGATCTGGTGCACCTTATGTATGAAAAATACGGTTATCTTTTTCTCAAGGGTAAAATCTGAACCATACGTCATCCCCATTTCTTACAGGGGACGTTACAAATGGTTCCAGACTGCCCAGATCTATAGAAGATCTATGGTTTTCACTGAGTCCAACAACTATAACTTCAGTTTTATCTAATTAAAACTGGGAATGTTTGAAGTCGTCTACGTTTGTAGCTCAGTAAAGTAGTCAAGCAGTGGTCTCAGTGGAAGTGATTGATTGTGCTTTAACTGTAGGTAGATATGAGTGTCATCTGTATATGAAAACTTGAGATGCAGCAGAACGCCTGTGATAGTTTGTGTTTTGGTGGTTCCTGCAGTCGTTTCATACTGCCTTGTTTTATTGTTGTGTGTTGACTTTTTTTTTTTAGATCGTTTGTGTTTTTAGTCGTTCTTGTTGCATTTCCTCTGTCAGTCTTGCTTCTCAGTCATGTTCCATCTCACACCTGTTCCTTATAATAATTAAACTCAGCTGTTGCCTCTTACCCCATCACTCCCTCAGTACCAGGCTTCTCATTCTAACTTCAGTTTGGTATACTGGTACGCACCTGGTTTTTGCTTCTTGTATGCTCTATGTATCTTCCTGATGATATGGGTTTCCTTTGGGTTGTTCTGTGTATTTTATTGTTGTTCCAGGCTCTTTTTTAAATTTATTTGTAAAGTGCCCTGAGACAGCTTTGTTGTGATTTGGCGCTATATAAATAAATTTAATTGAATTGAATTTTTTGGTAATAATAAATTGCTTATTTTAGTTGATTCCTTGTGTGAGCCTGCATTCTATCTCTATTGCAAAGGGTGACAGCAGCACTTCTACTTTAGGCTGTCCCTGGATGATGGTACTCCTTTTCTCTAAGGTTGAGCTCAACTGCCTGACAGAGAAAGCCCAGTCCAAACGCTTGCATCCAGAATCTTGTTTTCTCAATCAGGAACCAGATCTCATGAACGTATGTGAGGGTTGGAACCTACTGTATATGTACCATAAAAGTGGTCCATCTTCACCCTGCCATCATTTGTGAACAGAACTCATACATTCTTATAGTCTTCCTCTTGAAGCATACATATGATTTTGTTTTAACACAAAAGTTATGTGATGGGTAAATAAGCCCCTATCTTCCTAGATCTAGATCTTCCAAGACCACCTGTATCTTTTTGGTGCCCCACAAGTTTCCACAAATTACTTTCTTTAAAACTTAAACTTTATTATACTTGTAGGAATACCCCTCCTATCACCATGATGTATTGCTATGGATCAATGAAATGAGCAAATGCTTATTTTTACTTAGATAGCATTTATTTTTCCTGAACAGTTGGTACCTGGTATCTATTAAGATAACAGTGTTCAACGTCATTTATCTGAAAATATGCATCCCATTCCTCACCTAACACCGTCAGTCAGCAGTAACACTGGCAGAATGATGGAAATAATAAAACTATCCCTCCTCTGCGTATTCAATCAGTGTTTTGTAATAATTAACAAGTGAATGAGAGAAGTCGGCAGGCTGTGGAAAATTAAAATGCAAAAATTTCTCAGCCACAGCTTACGATACGATATGCTCTACTGTGAAAAATATTTGAGAGACTGTGACAAAGACAGCTACATGTCAGGTGGACATGTTTTGTGCTGGGTATTCATTAGCAGCAAGTCTTTCCCTGGTGGTTTGGTCTGCGGCTCTGCACGAGGAGTTAAGTACGAGTTGACGTAAAGGTACGTGAGCGATGTGCATTTGTGATCATGGTCCACTCTTAATGGGAGCTGACAGTATTGATCTCACAATCTGGCTGCAAAGGAGGCATGCATACATGTTTGTGTGTGTGCACGTGTGTAGGCCATCAGGATGAGTTTTATCAAGAGAATCAAACAAGCAGTAGGCTAACGGATGGCCAACCGAGACTTGATGTCTGGTCTGTCTTGTCTTATCTCACAGTAAAATGGCTTTGAGCAGAATGTGCACACCGTTAGCTGCTGCTTTCAAGTTTGCAGATCTGGGTGTTGACCACGTGCAGAAGGTCATCAGAGTGGGGATGTTCCAACACAGACTCAGTCGATTGAACAAACCTTAACTTATTATGCTAAAAACCCTTAAAGAGTGGGGTGTTTGTTACCTTGGCAATGATGCTGCAGAGCTGAGGTCCATCCTGCGTCAGGGAGAGCAGGTTGCTAATGGCACTGCCAATAGTATGAACACTGTCGGAAGACTCAATCTGTTTGATCAGGACCTACAAGAAAGATGATACCCTTAGTAATGTCTATGTTGATGTAGAAACGCACTAAACTCAATCAACTGGAATTTTAACCATGCAAAGATGATTTACATGATATATGTTCAGGATTTTTGACTTTGCAACCTTAACATTAGTCTAAAGCAATGACTTTGTAGAGGGGGGAAAAATATTGGTAGCAGCCTATCTTATTATGACAAGGATTCACGGTGAAGTAATGAACCAAAATGTGGATATGGGCAGACATTGTGACAATCATTTTTTTAAGAGGACCAAAACTGAGGGTATTGTAAAAGCAGTATAAACTAGACTAGACAAGAAGAAAGCAAACCTGAGGAAATACCAAACAGGCAAGAAAACAACATAATTGTGGTAGAAATCAAAGGAAGCCTGGCTGCCTATAGACTGATGGGAACTAAAGCCTGGTTGTAACACAAGACGTGAGACATCAGATCTTGCTGACATGTTTGCAAAACATTCCTTTTTCACATGGACATTTTATACTCAAAGAACTGCCGGGGAAGACGTCCTGCTAAGGCCTCACATATAGCACGTTGCAACAAAAACAGCAGCAACATAGTTGGCATAGTGGATTTTTATTTTCAGTTGATGATGGAAGAGTTGGAGGAGGAATATCTGGTATTTAGATTTTGTAAATTTGTCGTGAGAGGACCACTATTTCTAACAGACGGTGCGGGAACTTGTCCCTACACTGCTCAGCTGGAAAGCACTCCCTCCTCACCAGCACAGTCACAGCTGCCCGGCCAAGGCGTGCTCCTTCACAGACAGCACATGCACAGAGAACTGCCTACGTCTGTCAGCATTCTCCTCTGATCACAAAACGTGTGCAATCTTCTTCCACAAGTTCTTGGACTATTTTTATATTTTGAATGGAACATCTGTAATAATAGCTGTACTTTCTCACAGCCTTGGCCAGCGGCTCCTCAGCTGAGTGGTTGAAGTAAATGAGCTGTTTAAAACAGTCTTTTCAGCATTAACACTATTTTGGAAAGCCAGCCCCAGTTTCAAAATCTAACATTATCGTCTGTCAAATTAAAGGCTGCAGTAACTGTGTTTGTTTGTTTGTTTGTTTGTTTGTTGGGGGGGGGGGGTGTTACGGCTTACCACAGACAAAAAACATGCATGTTAGACTATCTACCAACTCTGACTCTAGGTGAGAGTATGAATGGTTGTTTGTCTCAATTGTCTCTGTGGTCCTGTGATGGACATCCAACTTGTCCAGGGTGTCCCTCACCTCTTGCACAGTGACTGCTGGATATGGGCTCTAGTGACCCCCCATGACACAAAAAGAAAAAAGCATGTAAAGATGATGGATGGATGGATGGATGGATGGAACTTTTGAGTTGATAGTTCCTTTACACCATTATGTGTTTATTTCTTCTCCGTTCTCTTATTGTTATGACATCACAGGGTGGTGACGTATGCTAAGATGCAAAAACAATAATAATTCATAAGAAAAACATTGGGACTTTACTCCTAAAACAGAAAATGTCACTTTCTAAACATTTCACCATTTAATCTCTTCATATGCAAACAATGATTAGTATTTCTTCATTTATTAACTGATCTGCTTTTCCATGCAGTCCGTCACGCCAATAAAATGTAAATGGTGACAATTGTCAATATGCTTAATGGGTTCCTATTACTTCTAGAGACAAAATCTCCTCATAATTGTAATCAAACTCAACATGTAAATCAGGTATAAAAAGGTTTTGGTTATATGAAAGAACTCAGTGACAAAATAACACACAGTTTCAAATAAAACATGACAACTATCTAGACTAACGTGGCTTACCTAAAGGTGTTTGCAAGTGCAGAAGATGAATATAATTTTATACCTGGATCTCATTGGCCAACGCCATGTCAATCATGTTGCTGAAAGAATCACTGACATCTGTGAGGATCTCGTGGATCGCCTCCCTCATGGATTTAAGGAAGAATTCATCATTGGTGTGAAGGCACCTGCAAGAAAGGTGGATAATAAAGAATAACAGGTAAAAAAATTTTTATCTGAGTTAGTTTTTGTAACACCTTTGTAGAACCATATGAAGTGCAACCCAAATAAAGAAATAAACTGTTTTTGTTTGTTGGTTTTTATGTCGCTGTGTGTATTACCTCTCTGTAATATGAGTCAGCTCCAAACACTTTTCTAGCAGTGATTTTTCATACTGCGGCAAAAGAAAAAGAGAAATACTTCAGAAATTGATAAAACAAATAGAAATATATTTTCACAAAAATCCCATTGGTTTCATTATTTTACTTGAATGAAGGCAACAAAATGTGCCTCTGATGCTATGATGTTTATGTCCAGCTCATTGTTTTTATAATGTCCATGATCAACCATCACCTTCTGCATCTCTGGTGGTGTGCTCCGAGCAGCGCTATACTCGTGAATCAGCGAGCGCACGTGGCAGTTTGCACGTACGGCCGTGCTGTGGACTCTCTGCCACCGTCCCTTCTCCAGCCGCTGGAACATCTTCCCCAGCTCCGTGCTGACAACTAACGCACGCCGAAGAAGCGTCTGCAAGTTGTTCCTGGCCACGTGGTCCCCTGCCCCAATCCCAGAGGTCACTATCAGCTCTCCCTGGGTGTCCTCCTCAACCCCAATAGGTTTGGCCTGGAGGACACACATACATTCCACCTCTGTCATGTGGCGCAGGTCCTCCATCCAGCGCTGGACTGAGTCCACTTGGAGAGACTGCATACGAGTACTATGGAAGGAAGAAAAAAAACTGAAACAGTAGGAAGATGTAAAATTGTAGTCAGTTTTATTTATGCAGGAACCTTTTCTATACTCATAAAGATACGGACATGATTATGATTCATAAACTTGTGGAGCAGTTTGCTCTGGTGATGGAAAACTAACAGATTAGGTCAGGCAGGAATCACCGAGGACTGTGATGTTTGCAGATGACATTGTGATCTGTGATGAGAACAGGGAACAGGTGGAAGAGAACTTGGGGAGGTGGAGGTATGCACTTGAAAGAAGAGGAATGAAAGTCAGACGTAGTAAGACAGAGAACATGTGTGTGAATGAGAGGGAGGAGGTGGAACAGTGAGGCTACAAGGAGCAGAGGTCACAAAGGTGCAGGACTTCAAGGACTTGGGGTCCACTGTCCAGGAAAATGGGAAGTGTGGTAAAGAGGTGAAGAAGAGAGTCCAGGCAGGATGGAGTGGATGGAGAAAAGTTTCAGGAGTGATTTGTGACATAAGGGGTCAGCAAAGGTTAATGGAAAAGTTTACAAGACAGTGGTGAGACCAGCTATGTTGTATGGTCTGGAGACAGAGACATGGACAAAAAGACAGGAGACAGAACTGGAAGTGGCAGAAATGAAGATGTTGAATTTCCCCTTAGGAGTGACATGGATGAATAAGATTAAAAATGAGATCATCAGAGGTACAGCACAGGTTGAGCAACTGGGAGATAAAGTTAAAGAGACCAGACTGAGATGGTTTGGACATGTCCAGAAGAGGGACAGTGGGTATACTGGTAGAAGGATGTTAGACATGCAGCTGCCAGGAAAAAGACAAAGAGGAGATATATGATTGCAGTTAAAGAGGATATGGAGGTAGTTGGAGTGAGGACAGAGGATGCAGAGGACAGAGATGGAGGAGGATGACACTGTGGCGACCCTTGAAGAGGGAAAAGTCAAAAGAAGAAGAACTTACAGTAGATTACATACTGCTGCTCACAAAGTGCAAACATTTTGGCTTGAGTTGTGGACAATGGACGTTAATGGAGTCCATCTTTTTATGTCACTGGTCACAGTTCAACGTTTTTGTGGTCCTATTCCTGCTACAAAGCAGTATTGTTTCCTCAGTAGCAACACATACTGTTTAAAAAGAGAACTGTAGTAAGTGCAGCACAAGTGTCAGCACGATAGCCTTTCTTGCTACTTGCACATTGATGTCACAGTTCACTTGGGCTGGGACCAACGGTTGAATGCAATCTCAACCTAACGCCCCATTTCTAAAGGTAAAAGTTGTCTCAAACTGGTTCCGTGCAATGAACATGAGTTCAAGGGACTCCATAGGCTTTATTATCAATATTCACCAAGAGGCTCTTGCTTGTAGATTCCATGGTGTGTAGCCGTGATGACATCTGCTCAACATGCAGAAGGTGCTGGGTTCAATCTCCAGTCGAACTGTGGTTTCTCAACATGTGCAACTGTCCCAACAAAACCACCGCTGGGGTATTACAGGTTTATTTTAGTATAGATAGCAAACACTAAAATAGCTTTAACTCAGATGCATGTACAGATATTAAGCTAAAGTTTGGTGTGGACGTAGCTGAGTCACTCCCAACACTCATTTCTAGGCGTTTTAGCTATAAATCAGTTATGGTTAAGAAAATGTTGTGTTTTGAGTGGGCTAAAATATAAAGAAAGGGTCAACTGAACAAATCTCTAACATTTAATAGGGAAAAAAAAGGAATTTAACAAGTGCAAATGCATAAGCTGCAAGTAAGTCATCAGTTTATTTAGCATCCCTCCAGCATGAGCCCTTATACAAGCAAATCAATCCTCTTAACTCCATCAAGAGAAAACTATAAACGGGCACTAAAAACAGCAGCTTTCAAGCTTTAAACACCAGGCATTCCTAAAATCAATAATGTGTATTCAAGGTCAATTCCATCAATAACTGCTAGCTTTGTGCTTGTTAGTTTAACCGCCTCCATTTCCTCTTTAGCTAGATAACAGCTTTAACATCGTACTGCACCGGGTAAACACTCTTCTCCACTTCAATCTCTCCTGGCATTGACCCTAATGAATGGAGGCTTTAGAGGGCACTTCCAAATCCTGCACCTAAACAGCCGAAGCTCCCTGAAAGAGAACGGATCGATGGCTTCTCTGAGTCAACACAGGAGAGAGTCTCTAATGAAGATGGATATTTCCCCATCTGGGTTTCTTTCTGTACAATCTGTGCAAATTAACAGCTTCAAAAAGACATTTGTTATATTTATTTGTAACACAGTATTGGCTGATCAGGCCTGAAATTCAACAGAAAAAACTTGTTGCAAGTCACCAACTAGTACCCATGAACAAACACCTTCAAGACTTTTCAAATCCTTTGAAAGCCATCCATCCATTTTCTTTACCCGCTTCTTCCTTTTCAGGTCACGGGGGTCACTGGTGCGATATCCAGCAGTCACTGTGCGAGAGGCGGGGGACACCCTGAGCAGGTCACACGTCCATCACAGAGACACACGAGACAAACAACCATTCACTCTCTAACTCACATAGGGACAATTTAGAGTTACGGATCAGCCTAACATTCATGTTTTAGGTCTGTGGGAGGAAACCGGAGTACACGGAGAAAACCCATGCATGCACAGAGAGAACATGCAAAATCCACACAGAATTACTCCTGGCTGGGATTCGATCCGGCGACCTTCTCGATGAGAGGCGGCAGCTCTACCAACTGCGCCACCGTGCTGCTCCTTTGACAGCCATCAAATTTAATTACATCTTATCTATTGTTCTATTAATTAAACTGTTGAATTTTTAAAAAGTCTTATTCTACAGCGTTGAAATCACTAATCAATATCTTACATGCAGCAGAAATCGCTCAGAGCATCATATCTTCTGCTGAACTTCTGGCAGAAGTCCTGGAAGTCCAGCAAACATCTAGTCCAAGTGGACTCAGTTCTGAAGCAAAATTATTTTGCTTCATATTTGTAAAGAGTTTCAGGTAAAAGATACTTTGTAAACCTTTACATCAATGTCTCCATTGCCACTTTTGTGTCAGATGCTTATTTACCTAAAGGTTTTCAGTGATGTACCTCGTCGACCGGTACCGTTTCATGTGAAGCTTATGTTGCAAACGGATCATGCTTGCATTACCAGACTAAGTAACAATCTGATTTAAAAATAATTTAATTATTGCTGTGTTAAAACCAAAAATGTTGCAGCAGTTTAAGATAATTCCCTTTTCGTTGCATTTCCATCATCGTGTTTCCAGTCTGTTGGTGCTCGTTCTGTTTTGCAGTTTCACACAAACCCTTAATGGTAAAAAAATATATATAAAATAAAAATAAAAATAATTCAAACTAGCTCAGTCTTCACTGTAAATAATCAAAGATGGTGCCACTTTACGATAGGGGAACACTTATAAAACAATAATAAGCAGTCAATAATGAAGTTATTATTAAACCCCTATTTAAACTGATAATGGAAACAAAGGACAATATTGACTTATTGTTTGCCAAATAATGAGTCAGCATTTATGTGTACTCTCTTTTGTCACCGTTTGCCTATATGGTCTTTATAATTTCATATTTTAAATGTCAAACATTTGTTAGAAAGTTACATGCATGTCATTTCATGTAAGCACTATGAACTTCTAGCCAAAACTTAGCTTTCACAAAAAAAATAGTTACAAAAATGTTATATTGATAAATTAGCAATTTTTCCACATGAAGAATGAACAAAGAGTCTGTTTATTCTCAATAAAAACTTTGATTTTTGGTTTTCCTTCACGTGTTCTGAACAAATAAAGTAGCACTGAACCGAAACAATAAAACGACACTAAGTACTGCTGAGGTTTTGTTTTAATGTTAAAATTGTAATACGCTTTACTGTTGTAATAAAACATGAAAATAAGTATTTAAAGAGGAGGAACTGTGAGGCAGAATGAACAATACTTATGTTCATTTCAGACCAAATGTGATCGTTAGAATTCTTTCCTCTGTTATATAACAGCATCACACGAGGATGTGCCCGAGTAGATTTACACACCCAATGAGCCACAAACATCACTCCCCCCTCAAGAAGGGGGGGGGGGGGGAGAACGATAATAGGTTTGTTTTCAGAAGGGGGTGGGGAGCGGTGCACTATAGTGTGTGCAGAATGAAAAATATTTACATGCAGGGCCACAAGAGGGTCGGCTGATAATGCCTCTATTATATTGAACATGCATCCTGAAATGAGGCGCAATCCTTTTTGGGCGGTTACTGGTCAGAAACTGAGGTCAGTGTCTGTCACTGTCCTGCTCCAACACACCTGATTGAAATTATGAAAGGCCTTCGTTAATTTATCATCAATAAATCGTCATGTTTTATTAACCGGATCTGTAAAATAAATAAATAAATAAAGTTTTTAAAAAATCAAGAATAAAATCAGGTGTCACAAGAATGGAAAACTTCATCTCAGAGAAGGGAAATGCTATAATCCATCCATCCATCCATTATCTTTACCCGCTTATTCCATTTTGGGTCACGGGGGTCGCTGGTGCCCATGTCCAGCAATCACTGTGCGAGGGGCGGGGGACACCCTGGACGGGTCGCAAGTCCATCACAGGGACACACAGAGACAAACGAGACAAACAACCATTCACTCTCTCATTTACACCTAGGGACAATTTAGAGTTACCAATCAGAACTAACATGCATGTTTTTGGTCTGTGGGAGGAAACCGGAGCACCCGGAGAAAACCCACGCATGCACGGAGAGAACATGCAAACTCCACCCAGAGAGGCCCCTGGACCGGGGTTTGAACCGGGGACCTGCTCACTGAGAGGCAGCAGCTCTACCAGTTGCGCCACCGTGCTGCCCATGCTATAATACATCCACCCATTATCTTTACCCGCTTCTTCCTTTTTGGATCGCGGGGTTCACTGATTGTGACCAAATTGCACCGCTCAAGGTGGCAGCATGTCGGAGCAGCTCTGGTACATTCTTTCTGAGGTTTTGCTTTTCAAAACTTTAATTACTCTGTTTTTTTCTGGATGTAAATGGCTTTTTTTCAGATGATTACTTCCTCTGGTATCAGATGCTGTGCAGCTGGGAGGATTTTAACTGAAGCCTTTTTTTATTTTATTTTACCTTTGGACATTTGTTATGATGCGTAACCATGGCAACAAGGTGGTTTTCTACAACTAGTAGCTGCTGATTAACATAACAAAAGCTCAAATATTACCTAAACTACAGCCCCAAATCCCAAATGATTTGAAAAGGAGGCGCTGTGAATGCATTCCCGTCTACCTGGAGGCGGTGCTCGAGTGCCAGACCACCGAGATCTTGGAGTTCGCAAGAAACGCGGCTCGTGACAGCGGGAGGACCGAGATCATCCCCCATCACCTGCAGTTAAGTCCATGTCGACGAGGGGCTTGGCAGGCTACTGAGAGAAATGGCCATCGCTCGGGGAGGAGTTCTGTCCAGCATTCAGGTGGTCCTGCTGCCCAAGAGGACCGAGAGGTCTGCGGAGTCTGACTGGAGGGATTGGCATCTGCAGCCAGTTTCTTCAGATCTGCTGTGGGACGGACTGCTGCAGATCCTTCCTGCCGCAGCCATCAGCATCTATAACAACTCTTTAATAAACCAGGATGATGAGCTACAACAACAATTCATTTTCTTTTGGGATTAATAAAGTATTTTTAATTTAATTTAATTGTTTTGATGCCATATCCATCCATCACTGTGTGAGAGGCGGGGTACAGCTGGACTGGTCTCCAGTCCATCACAGGGAAACATAGAGACAAACGAGACAGACAAACACTCACACCTAGGGACAATTTAGAGTTACCGATTAGTGTAGCATGCATGTTTTTGGTCTGTTGGAGGAAACTGGAGTACAAAGAGAAAACCCACGCATGCAATTCGTTGGGAGACTGCAACGAAGCCAAGATTCAACTAGTCTGCTGGATTCCTTTGATAGAGAGCTGCAGAGAGAAAAGCTTTGCAGAGAGTGGTGAAGGCTGCACAGAAATCTGTCGGAATCAGCCTCCCCACCATCACAGACATCTACACCTCCAGATGCAGGAAGAGGGCCACCTGCATCATGAAGGACCCCACTCACCCAGCACACACACTTTTTGCCCCACTCCCCTCAGGAAGGAGGTTAAGGAGCATTAAGTGTAGAACCACTAGACTGAGGAACAGCTTCTACCCTGAGGCTGTTAGACTCATGAATCTCTAACTAGAATAATCACTGTGAAAAACCATATCATGTTGCTGCTGATCTGTTTCATGTTGCTGCTGATCTGTTTCATTGTTGATGTGTTCATGCGTGCTCACAGACTCATGTTCATGTTTGTGCTGATGTTCAATGTTTTATGTTATGAGTGCTTAGTGTATATTTAGTTGATGTTTTTTTCTTAGTTCATATCTTAGATGTTATTACTGTTTTTCTTATACATTTTATTGTTGGATGTAACTGGGACCCCGTGTACATAATTTCGCTCCACCACATGTACCACATGAGGTGCGAATGACAATAAAGAAACTCTGACTCTGATAGAGAACTTAACTAATTGGCTTTTATGTATGTGAATGTTTCTGTAAAGTGCCCTGAGACAACTTGTTGTGAATCGGTGCTATATAAATAAACTGAATTGAATTAAATTGCACGGAGAGAACATGCAAACTCCACCCAGAAGGCTCCCTGGTCAGGATTTGAACCGGCGACCCGCTCGCTGAGAGGCAGCAGCTCTGCCATCTGCATCAACTAGATAATCCTGAATAAATAATTAAAGTTCTTTGAAGGGATGCATATGGCCCCTCGCCTCATCTAATGGTGATAACGGAAGGAGCTGTTTGTAGCTGAGATCATCGGACCAGCTGCTTTTGTTTGTACCAAAAACCAGGTTGAAGCTCAGAGGAGATCGGGCTTTTTCAGTCGTGGGCCCAAAACTTTGGAACAAGCTGCTCATCAACATTAGACAGGCCACTTCACTTCCTGCTTTTAAATCTCTTTTAAAAACACACTGTTTTCACTGTATTTTAACACAGTGTGATTTAATTTAGTATTTTACTGTTTGGT